AAGCAAACTACTGCATTCATTTAAAACAGTGTTGTCTCGGTTCACTTTAACACTATGGAGAAGCTGGAGTTCTAACTATCAAGACATTTATATATATGCTCTCAAAAAGCAAAGGAGGACAATGCCACTTAAGAGAAGCATGCCCATAGCAAGTGTGGATACAAGCTGTTTTAAAATAAGCCTCAGCTGTTAATGCACAGTCTTAATAGTGAGCTAGTCTAATTTTGAAGAAATTACAAAAACAAGCAAATGCAATTTCTGAGGAGAAAGTTACCTGATCACTAACAAGGATGTGGATACCAGTGGGACCCTGTCTGTAAACCTGATTGATCTGATGCAAGGGAATATTAAACACCAAAGCAAGCTTGCGAGTGACTTCTGAGGCTGCCATTTCTTCTAAGTAGATCGCGTGATAAACTATAAAGGAAAAAAAGATCAACTTTCAGTAAGCATTAGGTCAATTAATAAACATTTATTACATGGAAAAAAACACATTTCTTCAGGATGTTTAATTTTATATCCCTGGTTTGCAAAACCCTCTAAGAAGCCATAGACCTTTCTTCCTAGTTTCTAACACTGTTTCTTCCTGGTTTCTAATTCATTAATGGGTGTCAGCTGTCATAACTTTTTCCTTCAAAACAGTTACTTGTCATAATCAGGCTTTCGATATAGTTCTATGACTGTATCTGCTGTATTTGCTTCAATACTGGAAGCAAACTACACAGTATCAGAAATACAAAAGAAAAGATTATCAGGGTGTTCACCAGGATCTGGGGGAAGAATTGTTCACCAAAGTGCCCCAAGGGATGACAAGGTCAAATGTGCCATAACATGTGAAGTGACTAAAAATAAATATATTTCTGTTAAAAAACAGAGGGAAAAATTCTGGCATCCAGGCCATTCCTCACCACATGGCTATTCTTAATGAAGATAGCTTTTTGACACATTACTACCCTGTGGGCACCTTCAGCACTTGTCTTGTGAGCATTTTATAGCATAGGGAAAGGTCTTTTCCAGTTTCACTTGAATCTTATCCGCAGTGACACACAGTGACAGAATTTGGTGCATCCAAGAACAAAATAAAAACTTAAGTGAAAATTAAAGTGCTGTATATCACAAGGCTTAAAACAGCTGTTGTGCCCCCAATTCACGCCCCCATCAACTTCCATCTGTGTACGCACTTGCTGAACACAAACTTCCTACTGCTTCTTTGCACACCAGAAAGCCACAATTCTAGTGTATAAAACAAAATGGATCTACAGCTCTTTCCTCTCCTTAATACGCTTTTACTTTGTACCTCAGTAAAGCATGAAATGCTAATATTCAAGAGACCTTTGTATCATACCATATATTGCACCGTTGCTGTTATCGCTACTTCCTGCATCTTGCTGCCCTTCCAGTTGTATGCTCCTTGCTGGCTCCTGGCAGACATAGATTGTTAAACGGGGCCTAACAGACCTGCAATTTAAGAAGATCACATATTAAAAGGTAAACACACTTTTACTCATGCACAGGCAAAATTTGTATTTGTCTGAATTCAAAGTCTTAGCATTCAGAACATGCTTAAAAGATTACTGTTTTACACACTATTTTAAACGAATACATCATAAACTATCACAGGTAGCTAATCTAATGAGCTACTATCAGAACTATTGAGCTTGTCTGTCAAAAGTGCTAATAAATTTAAGTTTAAAAACTAATTCCACAATTCTAAAATCATTAAGACCTAGCTTATTTACATTGGAATCCTGCAACATTATTACTGGAGTAGCAGCAGTAATTACAGATCTTAAAAGTCAGCATGTTATTAAAAATCCGTTACATCAGTTAGAATCAGTTACGTCAAATTAGAATGCTGAATTTGTTAATAATTAACAGCTATGACCTCAAAGACTTTAGGTTCTTTATAGCTCACCTAAATGAGAAGTTTTGTCTCTTGGCAACAAACCCATCCGTCTTGAAGAAATCAGTACTTCCCAACTGCATTGCTACCAGTCTTACAGTCTACCTTTGTATTCATCAGTGCCTGCATCATATCTGTGGCCTGCCCTGAAGGTATACACAAAACAGTCTTCTTTTGAGCACATTACTGCCAACTCCTGAGACAGCTCACATGGGCTTACGCCAATCTAACTCTGAATGCATACCTCCCAGATCCCCTATTCTAAGAAAGGCACATTCTATGATTAAACAAAAGCACTTAAGCGTGCGCTTGGCATTTTACCTGGATTTCAGTGCATTATATAGCCGAATTCCATCGGCCGGACCACAGATTTGTACCAGATCCTCTCTTGTCAGCTTTAATAAATCAGCACCTGGAGAAATATGAAGAGGAGGATTTTTGTCAGTTTTTTTACTACAAAGCAAAAAGCAATGTCAAGAATTTGTTTAGGACTGTGAATCTCCACAAGAGTTGTGGCACTTTGAGATCCTTTTAAGGGTGCCACAGGATGCCTCAATATTAGTGCTGTTAGATGTGCAAAAAATGATTCATAGGACAAACCTAGAAATCTCTAACAGGAATCCACAGTGTCAAAAAACATTCCGACCTCTTTGTGAGCTTTCTCAGTTCTTTGCAACAGAATTACTCAAAAAAAGTGAAAGCTAAGAGCTGGCATTTCCAAAGGAGCACCTTGGGTTAAAAAAGGTTGGGAACAATTGGTTTTAGGACAAGTTACAAGCTGGTCCTTGAAGAGCAACACAACAATGCAAGATAAAAACCAAGGATGAATGAGCCACTTCTGCTTTAACATTTTTGAAGAGGCACTATCCAATGCTATGTTTGAATGGCCTGATTTCCAGAGGTGGACAGCATTAATAGCACCAAGTATCACCCCTTTGAAAATACAGTAATGTCATTTCTGTAGATACAAATAAAAGCCTAAATGATTTGATTTGGGTTAAAGTATTTAAGCTGGGTGAATGTATTTCAGTTGCACATTACAAAGCAGAGGCATGCCCATAGCATGTTGGTTTATCATAAACTACTGTCCCTTAAATTAAGTACAGAAATAGTTGGACCGTTGGTTCTATGCCATCTGCAATGAAACTGCCACCTTTGGCTATCTGTATTGCTGTATTCTCGAGAACGTATTGCTAGACTTGCAAAATCTACCATAATAGGGGCCAACCTTTTTGGCAAGGGTGCCATAAATTAACCCCACACTCTCCCCAAGTAGCACTCTTATCCCCTTTGTCTCCCTGATTTACTGCTCTGCTTCCTCGCCTATATTCCACTTTGCTGCTTGTCCCCTCCTTGCTCTGCTGTGTGCCATGCACAGAGGCTACTCGTGGCACTGGTGGCACCCATGCTGCAGACTGGCCACCCATGAGGTACATTTCTATCAAAAGCAAAGATGAAAGAATGCTCCTGTGTCCTGATGACACGACTAACATTATTTCTACTCTTCGATCCTACTAGCTCTGCAGAATCAACACAAGTAGAAAAGGAACACGTCCAACTCTGTCCCCTCTAGCCCACCAGACCTGTCCATTTACAAAGCCTATCTGTTACCTCTTTGCAAACCTAACAATGGCTGTGAGATTGCACAAGTGTTACTCATGACACTTTCTGAAAATCCAGGCAGTCAAAAAAAATCCTGGGATCTCAACACAGCTGAGAAGACAGGACAAAGGGGTGTTATTCTATTAGGTCGGGGTGGTCAACCTGCTGCATGCGAGCCATGTGGCAGATCAGGAAGGAGGACAAGCAACACAGAAGCAGAAAGGGCATGGAGTTGAAAGCAGAGCAGCAGATGGAGGAGGGAGCACAAGAAAGGAAGCCAACAACTTAGCAAATTTGGTAGAAAATAGAGGGCAGGAAACAGAATGGCAGATTGAGCAAGGGAAGAGGACTGTAGTGGCACTTGGGAAGGCTGGAGGACTAATTTGAGACATGCCTGCCAAAAAGGTAATTGTAAATGTATCAGGCCATGGGAATCTTTTGGGGAAGGGGAGTCTATGCAAGAGGGATGTGCTTTGTAAGAGACTTAAAAATGATCAGTCATGATGTCATGATAAGCATTTTCAGAATTTGATCAGCACTAAGACAGAACGTAAAGATATTGGTAATTAAAATGAGTGGTAATTCAGGAGAACAGGCCACAAAACATGACTCTCTTGGGGAGAAAGGACAGGAGGACCAGTACCATAAAAAGGGTTAAACAGGAGGATGTGTCAAGATACATCTAACATACTCACTTTTATATACACACACTTATGAAAAAAGAAAAGCTTAGGGACTAGAATGTCTCTTAATCAAAGAGGATGCTGGTATAGTGCACATTACAGAAGCACAGTGGAATAACTTAAGTCAGTGGAATATAATATCTGGCCGTAAACTATGAGACTACGACAAAAAGATGAAGGAATACTGTTGCATTTTAAAGATGCCACAGGATCTAGTAGAGAGGACTGTGCATTTGTTTGTAAGCTCTACTATACTGGTAGAGCTTTATTATTATCTTCCTTACTAAAAAAGTGAATGTTTAGAAACGAGCAGCAAAATCTGAAAATGTTCAGTTACTCACATATGGACTGGTAAAATGAACAATACAGCACAGCTTACGGAAACAAATCTAATCGTAAGCAATTGCTTCTTAGAACAACTTTTTCTATAGCACAGAAGAGATGTTTCAGAAGCTGCATATGTCTAGTGGTGAAACCAAGAGCTTAATTTGCAGGAGAAAAGAAGTGAGAGAGGAAGTAAATGGACCAAATCGGATACTGTAGAACAACAGCCACGCATAATTACTAACAAGATCTGTAAGTATATCATAATTAAAAAGCCCCCAAAATAACTGGTGTTTGCCTGGTCTATTAGGGACTAATAGGAAAAATAAAGGAGGGAAAAGAAATGGTCAAGAAACTAAATTATTTCTTTACATCGATCTTCACCAAAAAAGATGTTGTTGAATCACCCAACACCTTCCCTTTGTAGTAATGAAGATGATACACTGGAACAGACTAGTAATTTCAAATAAAACACACTGCCAGACCCACCTGATCTATTAATGAAAATACACAGGGCATTAAGCGGTCACTGAGGACAGTTACTGTAGCAAACGATAGGAGGAAAGCATATGTGTGTAGAAGTCTCCAGGAATTATGCAGGAAATTGTGGAGCAGTAAGTTCGATATCTATATCTTGCAAACCAGTTGAAATTAAAAGAAGAATGAAACATTTGGAAGATCATATAAGGTCTATCAGCACCTGTTCATGGTCGTTAGGGGCTAGAAGGGGCCTCACAGATCATCGGGTCCAGCCCCCCCTGTACTTGGGCAGGAAAGACTATTTTTGAAGATCACTAGGGTGAATGACTCTTCTTCAAAAGGCAGCTCAGTGATCTATTAGAGCCTTCTCAAAGAAACCACTAAGATAGTGGACAAAAAAGAAACCCCACTGAAAAAATATTTTGACTTCCAGAGGCCTTTAACAAGTTCCCTTAGAAGGAAAGTGGTGTTATAAATCAAAAACCAGCCAAGAGAACAACAAAAAAAGAACTAATGAATTTCAGCATGACAAAAGGTAAAATACATGGTTACACTTGAATCTCTTGGTTGTGTTTAATATGACAGCTGTGGTTGGCTCACTGGATGTCAGCGCTGATGAGATGATGGTGGCTCAACCCGATACGGGAATCTAAAATCCAGTCAAGTGTACTTACTGACCACCCATCTAACAAGATATGGCTCTCTGCTTGAAGAGGGGAGAACATGTGCCTGCGTGACACTAAAAAGTACAGAGACTATCTCTAGGGGCATAAGACAGTCCTGGTACAATGTTCCATACCAGTACTAGCAGATGCTTCAGTAGTTGTGGTTGTTGTTATTCTCCTACAGGCCCAGGAAGGCAGTTCTGGAGACAGGTTCTCATGTGCAGAAGTTGTAGCTTTTCTGTAGTCCTCCAAACCATGCAGGTTCTGGAGGATTTCCTGCAGCATTTGTGTGTTGCCTTTTCTTATGGGAGGACACCAATCCTCCCCTGGCGTGTCTACTTCCATGTTCATAGCCATCTGACAGCACTGGACATTCACACTGAAATTGTTGCTACCCTTTTTGATTGCTGGGTTGCTATACCGGTGCTTGTTCCTTTCTTGGACCTCATTTTCTAAACCAGCCACCCGTATCTGCTGGACAAGGTCTTGTATGACGATTGCCTATGAGCAGGATCTTAGAATTTACTTACAAAGGTACTATTCCAAAAGACAGGAGTTTGAACTTTGTCTTCTGCGCCCTGGCAGAAAATGACAGGTGCATTTGGCATTTATTACATATGACAAAAGAGGTACAATTTGTATGCATCTTTCAATAGGGTTAGCCTACTGCAGAACAGAGAGCTTGAAGTCTTCTATGGAGAGGAGTCTTCCAGAGAGAGGAAGCCTTTGGTCTATGTTCAGTCAAGCTGAATCAATATGAGTGAAGCACCTGAAGATTAAAGGTAAATAAAGGAAGTTCCAAATAAATTTATAAGGTTTTCCTAAAGCTAAGATGTAGCACAGTGATTCTCAGCCAGGGTGCAACAGCACCTTGGGGTGTAGTAAGGTATTTTCAGGAGTGTTGTGCAAATGCCTACACATAATTCACACGATAAAACCACAGAATTCAAATAGGATTTCAGAGTCAAAAACATTACAACCAGTGGCAGTCTTTTGGACTTCTTCACAAGAGAAAAGTTGCTGTATTATTTTTCTGTAGTCATAAAACAAGTGAAAACTTCAAGAACTGGTATTTTCCAAAGGGTGCCTGGAATCTAACAAGGGGTGCCTTGAGATTGAAACCACTGATTTAGCAGGTCAGAAACTTACTGCTCTGGCCATAAGAAGGAGCCAAGGGGGGTGAGGGCAGGGGGTGACAGCTGCACTCCCTTTTAGGGCTGCAGCTACTTCCAGATCCTGCATAAAAAAAGTGTGAGGTGTACAGCCACAACAGACACAACCACTCTAATTCCAGACATCTCTTTCCATACAGGGATCCACACTGACATATTTGAGGAAGAGCACTGGGACAATTCAATGAAACTAAAACTAAATTCAGAAAAATAACTTTTACCGCATTTGTAAAGAACTTCTTCAGTTTCAGGCAACAGGATATCAAGGGCAAAAATTAGCAAAGAGCGAACGAATCTATAATGGTAACAGCTCTGGATATTCTTCAGATAATGTGAACAAAAAATCATTAAACCTTACAGTTTGGGTTTTAAATCAGTCTTCACAGATTAGGAATCAGGAAGGGGACAGAATATCCCACAACTACCAAACATTAATTTTTTTGTACTTTCCACAGGAACACCAGGTGTTACAGACAGAACACACTGGATGGACCATAATTCGGAAGATCCTGTGTGTTATTTCATCTCCCCCCTACATAGGGGAGTAAACTAGGTCTTAACTAAATCTGTGAACCATCATTACCAAGTGACACAGAAGAACGAACCCAGTTTCATTTGCAGTTGTCAGGATGAGCTTGCAGAGCTGGCAATTAGAAAAACAGCCTCTTCCTCAAACTGAGCACAATTAGCTTGTGAAGTAGGAGGATACACTAAATCTGCAACCCTACAATGCTATTCTTTACAACAGTTTTACAGTTTTATCATTTTAAACCTGTGGGAAATTTTTAGACAGGTAGTTTAAAAATAATACCTGAGAAATTTGAAAAAAGCCTTGTATAGGTAGAGAACCTATGCTTGAGCAACCATTGTTGAGTTTCCTGGATTGTGGCTGAAGGAAGAAGTTGCTGTAATAAAGAGAGCTGAAGATTAGTTTACTTAGTTTATATAAATTACCAAAATAAACAGCTCAGTAAGTTATGAAAGAGACAATTATGCATATTATGTCCTCTAATCAAAGCATATAGATAATGAGCTAGTTAGAAATCAACTGTACTTCATGTTATTCAGCTGGAAAGATGTTTCATTTAGCATAACAACAAAGAAACAGGAGAACAGATACTCACATCTCCAGACCCTTGAGAGGATCCATCTCCTTGATGATTAGGAGAGGAAGAATTGCTATTGGGGGGAAGGAAACAACCGTATTAAAGGATTTTTAGAAGGTTAGAACATTTAAAAACAAACAAATTCGAACAGCACACAAAAGTATTCTGAAATTTGCAAAATAACAACATCCCTATTTAATGGCAGCTTCATGCTGTCCATGTCTACACAGGGAGGAACAAATGTGGTAGAAAGTACCCTTCAAGAGAACTGGCAGCCCCTGGGCCATGTATGGCCTCTGAGGGGTTAACATGCTTCCCTGGAACTCCTGTGGGGCTGCCTTTCCCTCACTGCTCCTGCTGCGGGGCAGCCAGGGCCCCTGGGGCAGGACAGCATGGTAGAAAGGGGCTGCCACTGAGCTGGCAGTGGGCTTTCCAGACAGCCCACATCAGCATGTGGTCCCCAGCTGCTCAGAAATTGGACTGCCCTGCTTTAAAAGAGAAAGACCACCACACTGAGATGTTCAAGTTATCTGGTCTATAATCTCTATCCAACTTGTCAACTGAAACATAGCTGTGTGCTCAGTGATCACGTATAAATCTTCTGTTCAAGTTAAATATTTTTGACAATATTTGGCTGACAAAAAGAGAAACCCACGAGGCATTACTTTGACTGACTCTCATAGAACACAAATCAACTCACTTAACCTTATTCTACCGTGGTTTATTGATCAGATTTTCCGAGACAGCAATACTGATACGACACACAGTGCTTACAGGAATAAACTAATGGTATAAAGCACCTTTGTAACAAAAGAACTCTGTCCACATTAAGAAAACTGGTTGTATCTTGATATAAGTTAAAGCAGTACAACGTAGACCAGGACTCAGTTATAGCCATTCAAAGACCACAGATTGGTGTCTTTGCTATGAAATGCAACATTTTCCCTTCTTCCATTTGCACACAATTTTGGGCATTAATTGTCCATCTCCCACATTTATTCATGTTGCATCTTCACATGAAGAAAAATACTTCAGAATAAGTACGGTATTAAAAAGCTGTCTTCTGTATCATCATTTAAGATTCTTACCTGTCTGGGACACTATAAGTACTACTATGTTGAGCAGAGGTGAAAGTTGGAGCTGGGGTAGAGGTGTTGTTTACAAATGCCGTAGGAGTATCAGGCCATGGTGAGCACTGAGGGTAGAGAAAAAGATTTAAACTATAAATTAAACATCTAATGGTATTTTGTGGCATACCTCCTTTACTCAGATCTGAATTCACAGAACAAAATTTTAATCTCAGTTTTCACATTAAATTTTTCCCATACTACTCATTTCATGTTTGTATTGCAAAAAAAAAAAAAAGTTTTAGTTCTTTTGCTTTATGAAAAAGATTTATTTTACATTAACTTAATTGTTGCCTTTGACCATACAATGAAGGGGACAGGGATGAAACTAGCAGAAGGACTGTACAGGTTAGTCAGAAAAGGCCCCAAAACAAAGATCATGTCCTCAAGTAAGATTCCATAAGTTCAGGAATAGTAAGTAAAACTGAGAAAATTATCTTTTGGAATGGCTCATCTAAACATACCTACTATGACAGTGGTCATTCTCATTTTTGTTCCAAGAGCATTAATATTTTTAAATTAGGCATTCCATGCACTACAATTTATGAACAATTTATTATAAAACTAATCTGGTGCCCACATGCAGTTTTTCCTTTCTTTAATTTCATGACAAACTAGGAATTCTGTCCTAGTGATGAAACAGATATTTATAGATGAATCAACTGACTGTCAAATTTGGTCAGTTTGTCTTTCTTCTTTTTTCAAATGACATTAACGTTTAAGGTTCCAAATGCTCTTTCCTGCTCATTACAATGTATTTAGGGTAGGTAAGGAAAAATATAAGAACACACAAACAGGCTAGAACAAGCAGGCAGCCACAGAAAGATGAAATAAAACAAAGGCCAAGATCATGCTAAGCATGCTAACAAAGGTTCCTGATACATTTGTCATGATCAACTGTGCATTAACTTAAATGTGAGTTAATTTCCATGGGGAAAATTTCTAAAGCCGTTTCATTTCCCAGAAAAACAAGAATAAAACAGTAAATCCTAGCATTTAATGAGAATCTGTATTTCTAACAAGAAATATGAAGTAGACTCCAAGATGTCTGAGTATTGAAAACCTCTTTCAGTCACTAGAACCACAGGGCATAAGAAATCTAATCCTGGCTGCAGATTTTTATTGCAAAATATTAATATCTTTGAGCTGGAAGTAACTTGCCATTGCAGTAGGTAACAAAACCGAGAAGTGTGTGTGAAAGGTACTTAGTCTACACTGGTATTTTTGGAATTGAAACTTAATTAAACCGGAGCGTGTCACATAGTTGCATCGATACAGTCAACCTCAGTATACAAGACGGTGACTACCACTCTTTGTACTGAATGTGATCTTTCATCATTATTGGTTTAGATTTATATACCACCCTTCCCAACAAAGGGCCAGGACAAGTTACACTAAGAGGGAAAATATATTACAAAAGCAGGAAGAGTATGGGTACACAATCTACTCTGTCATTCCCCACGTTTCTCATCATAACTTAGCTTTCTAAACCTCTAGGGACAGGGACTAGGTTTGCACAGCACCTAACATTATCCAATTTTGTTCCTTAACTGTGGGCTCTTGGCACTACTATAAACACAAATAATGAATTCCCTAATCCCGTAACATTAATGCCAGCTTCATGCTTTTTCAGCATTTTAAATATTAAATTACCAAAGGATATTTCTTTAATGCATTAAACATTGCACACCGCTTTCACAGCTATCTATACTTTCTTAAGCCGCAGGTCAGAGGGAGAGCTTCTGAACTACTTTTGGCATCTGCTGTGCTTGCAGTCCCAACTAGACCTACTGACTGCACAATTCTTCATAGTCAGGAGGGGGCAAGATAGCACCAGAGGAACAAAAAGTATCACAAACAAGACAAAAAATTCTATCCAAGGGTAGCCCCTCCCCTTTCATTCATGTCTGTATTGCCCTTCAATTAACAGTTTTTATCTTGCCTCCTCAGCATAGAGAAATAAAAGGTGTTACCAAATAACCACCCCAAAAAGACATGTCAGAATAATACTTTAAAAAAAAAAACAACACATTTTTTTCCCAATAGGCAACTGCAATGTTGCCTTTAATCCGATCATCAGATGGTACCAATTAAACAGCAGCACAGATCTATCTTTATAATAAGAACAACTGAAAGTAAGGAAGAAGCCAGTTCTGTAGTGGACATGCTGTAGGTGGGTCTTATCTTCCCTTCACAAGATTAAGAAAAGGTAAAAGGAGCATTTGCCATGATGGCTTCATAATTAGCAGTGAAGCAAAAACGGCAGCACAAGATATCTTCCATAAAGACTTGGGATGATGGGCACGCAGCTCTGTGCAGCCATTTTCTAGGAATTAATTTGCTTGCCATCCCAGAATAACACAATTCTGGGTAGGTCTACATTTGTGTAAACTCAATATATTCTAAAGCTAGAGGAAATATAATGAGCATAATAACTAATAACTGGATCTGGGCACTTGCACAGGGACTTAGAATTAATCTCAACTCTATGAAGGGAAACCAAGTGCAGAACTGACATTATCCTTTAACTTGGGCGATGTACACAGTTTTATTTGAACTACCATATTTATGTGATACCAAGATGAGGTTTCCCCCTGCATTTAACATGGGGGATAAGCCCCTTGTCTTGGATTTGAGTATGAGGCAGTGAAGAGGCCAGCAGTTGGGGCCAGGGCCATAGCTGCTTCCTGCCCCTGCTCAGCCTCTACCTCCCCACACTTACCTTTGCTCCGGCAGGCCACAGAGCATGAGTCTTCTCCAGTTACAACCCAGCCCTGTAGCAGCAGTGGGCAGCTGGGGTCCCGCCTGAGCTGCCACTGCTGCTGCTACTAGTGTGCAGAGGCTGCAGGGTGGGGACAGGGAAACCAAGTGGTGAGGGTGGACAGGCAATGTGGGGGGCAGGGAGCAGGGGTCAAACTCCACTGCCACAGTATTCCCCACTGCAGCTGCAGAGGAAGTGGAGGGAAAGGGGGTGAATTTAAGACAACCCTCCAATAATTCTATACACAGAAAATTGTAACAAACACAGACTCTAATGACTGGGGTATCATCATAAATGTGTGGCCATCCTGGTTTCAGGTAAATATGGTATCAAAAGGAAAAGTTCTCAAAGTTCCTCTTTGGTTTCCTCTGTTTCATCACAACTCAGACCTTTGAGAAGAAACTGAACCCTGCAGACAGGGCCTAGACCTATGCTGATATGAGTCTTAAAATTTCAAAATCTCAGCTAAGCAGCCTCCAACAAGCAGCCTCTAGGTCTGGACAACAGCCTGACTCAATTCACATTTCCAAAAAACAGTAGAGAGATACAGCTGTTTCACGTGTGATGGCACAAATAGTTCCTATAGTTTAGAAGACAGTCTAGGACAGGGGTGCTCAATCTCTGGCCTGCGGGGCAAATGCTGGCCAGATGCCATGGCATCTGGCCTGCAGGGCTCCCCATGGGTCAGGAAATTTGGCAGGCATTAATAAGACCACCCTCTCCCTGCCAAATCCCCAGGCTCCACGCACCTGGTCAGGGCCAGGGCCAGGCTCTGACCCCTTCCCACCCTAGATCAGGGCTAGGCCACATCCCTTTCCCCTGGCAGGGCCAAGCTGGGACTTGGCCATGCTCCCTTCCCTCTCTGTGGGTCCCTCTCCCCACCCCCTACCACTCCCCACAAGCCAGGTCAAGCTTCTTTCCCCTACAGAGCTGCAATGGGACTGGCCTGTCCCCCGCCACATGGCCAGATGGTGCTCACAGTGCCCACCCAGGTGTCAAATCGGGAACACCAGGTGGATCTACCCCACGGATGGACTGGGCACTGTCAATCCAGCCTGCTGAGCCAAAAGATGGAGCACCATTGGTGTAGGAGAAAGATGTCTCATCTTCCAACTTTTATTACAAACAAGCCAATCTATCTATGTAGATAGCTATTTGGAAACAGAGGCCCCCCAAAACATTCTTAAATTTTCATGAAATGCAGGGCATCAAGTCCTCTGAAGTTATTATATAGTGTTTTTTCTATCTTGCTTCCCAAAATATTTGCATCTGCCCTTAATTTGTGAGTCAGGAAAGTTATCTAAAAAGTTTAGATTTATGGATCCTGACAGACCTTCTTCTCCTTATCAAAACTTAAGCAAACTCTAAAAACCGGAGACCTTTCTTAGGATTACCCAAAATAGAGTCCACATCACTGTCAGGCACAAATCTGAATCTTTAGATTTAAAGAGAAGGCCTGCTGTTTGATCAGCAGAATTATTTATAGAACTCCACAAGCATACAAGACATGTCAAAGAACATATAAAAACATACTTTGCCCCACCGGCCTTTCAAACCAACCTGACCGAATACAGTTTGAAATTCTGCACATGCAGTGTTTTTTAACACATCAGAAAATGAATAAGTTACTGTCTCTAGAACGTTATATCAGCCATTACTCAACATTTTCTAGCAGATATAAAGTGGCTAAATTAAGGGGTGCAGTAAAAAGCTGCAAGTGCTAAAAAAGCAACCACTATACAGCAAAGCTAGTGTTACTATAACAACTTTAATTTCATTTCCTGACATGAGGCTAGATTCTATTCCTATTACTAGCTGGACAAGTAGACTGTTTAGTACACTGTAGGCGTGTGTGAAGTGAGCCCTATTCAATTTGGATTTGGCCCAAATCAGGGACAGTGATTCGATTTGTTGGGTGCCTCCCCACCAAGACCCAAAAGGCACCAGTTGCCAAGCTGAGGGCAGAGGCACTGGGGGGTGGGGAGTGGGCCCTGCACGCTCCCTGGCAGACCTGGAAGTGGACCAGAAGTGCTTCTGGGCCATTTCTGGATCTACTGCCAAGTGCGCTGGAGAGCCCTGCCTGCTTTTGTGGGACACTCCACGCACTCCAGCACTGCAGGAATCACGAGCCCCTGCTACCTAGATGTATATAGAAAAAACAGCTTTTTCTATGTCCAAATCTTTCCGAATTGATTCAGAGGGTTCCAATTTGATTCAGAGAGATTAAAGGGTCTTCTGATTCAATTTAGATTCGGTGATTTGGCCATCGAATTGGACTGAATCAAATCACAGATCGAAGCTTCACACAGCCCTAGTAGACTGCTTCCATACTATCTTGCTCAAGTCCATGAAAAGCAGCTAATGCAAAAGGTGGGTGTGTCTTCCTCCTTGCTGCTTGTACATGAATATCTTTGGAGTAAGATGATATAGTGTTACAAAACTGGATGCATTGATAGATTTTTCAGGACTTGAACAAGGTGGAAGAGAATCACACTTAGGTGCTTGAGTTAGCTTAGGTACTGACTAGATGGAGTATAATTTAGACCTTAAGTGTTTAAAGCCCACTCTTCAGTTAATGTACAAGCAGTCCTCGAGTTACAATGTTTCGAGTTACATTTCACACCTGCAACAGTTACAAATTGACACTGTTTCAACTTTATGAGGTCAGTTTCGACTTGCAACGCTTGATCCAATGTGATGCCACGCTAGCGAACAAGTTTGCTGCGTCACTCATCTCCCTGGAGAACATCTGTCCAAATTTCCTTGGACTCTTTCTTTAAGAAAACAGATAAGACTCCAGAAAACCCAGCAGCTAAGACTCCAGCCAAGAGCCCTTCAAAAAGTCCAAAGTCACCTCAAAGAAGTCCTTCTAAATCAATATGATTCCTATTTACAATATAAATACATTAATGTAGCTATATTACTCATCTATAATTGATCAAGTACAAAATTCTGGGGGTATTTTTGGTGAAAATAGGGTATCGGGCCTTGGTTCAGGAATCACTCTCATTTATAACATTGTTTCTTGTGAGAAAATTGGTTCTGAGTTGCAATGTTTCGACTTAAGATGCAGTTTTCAGGAACTAATTATGTTGTAAGTCCAAGGACTGCCTGTATTTGTATTTTCTATGTTAACTTGTAAGTTTAATGGTAAATAACTCATCATTTATGACCCTTTAACAGGCCCAGGCTACAAAAACTTTAGAAATTTCAGCAGACAAAGATTTTGGCCTGAAGTGTTACATGACCTTCTAATGGCACAGCGGACTTGAACTACAGAACTAATGTAACAGCAAAAACCTACATTTGAAGCGTCTCAACTGCCAGGGCAACAAGGCCATTACAACTGGGGTTTGGTTCCCAACACTTTAGTGGGAGGTAAATTGGAGCACTTGTCTCAGGATCATCCCTAGTAAGCAGCAATAGCAAAGCATGCTACAAGATACCTCCTTCTCCAAATAAGAGCTTCGGCAAGGATAAAGGGAAAAAAAAGGCACTGAGATCACAGCCACTCCCAAGTACCCATCCAGACAGGAAGGAAAGAAGAGAAGGGAAAGAATGTAAGGTAAAAACATGGAGTCCAGCCAAGCCACCCACAACGGTTGACTTCTATTAGAAAGGAAAACATGTTTAGGTGAAGTGACACAAAGAATACTCGTTTTTTCCCCCCATTTATTTTCCTGTTTAAATCTTCTGGTAGAGTTCTTTGCCCAGTAACAGAAGTGTGTCTTGGTGGATGAAATAAGGCAGCTTGAGAAGGGAAGTAAATAGCTTTAAGGAACCAGGAAGCACATGTTATCTGTATTTTACTAAGGACAGTTTAGGGAAATACAGACAATCCAGTGCTTACTACGTATGTCATGTTAAAGGATAACACCCACCTCACTTTTCACAACACTTGCTTTTTGCTAGTATAAAATACATACGGTCATTTTAATCAAAAACTATTTCCTCACTCTCAGAATCTTAGCTAATATTTCAAGCACTACATTAAGGAATAATAAAAAGTGAGGAAGAAAATACAACAGGGTACGAGTTATGAAGGAAATAGGCAAAAACGTCCCTGTCAGGCAAAACTAAAATAATATTCTTTCATGGACAAGCAATAATGTAAACCCAAACTTGCCAACAGGAAGATGTTGTATCATTAATTACCCAAACAAATTAAATTGGTAAGATCTACCTCAGTAATCAACAGATATGTAAGTATTTTTACTGTTTTTTAAGAAGTGCCATTTAAACATTTGAAGGCTAACATTTGATGGGGAAAAGTGTACCTATTTGCTTTATATGTAGAATGAATTAGAAAGTTCACACTAAAAATTAATACTCGATATTAAACAAGACTAATTTTGCTTGCAGCGTAAGAACAGGATTCAGATAGAGGAAAAGAAACAGTGCTAGTATCAAGCTCTCTAAAACAAGAGATTTTGTGAGGTTTTGAAAGTACTGATATATATGGAAACTGAAAAATACAAGTGGAAATAATAGACAATACATGTTTTAGCTCAATGTTGCTGCTACACTATTCTCATTAGTTACATATACTAAGAGAACAAATAGCTAATTTCAATAATGGAACTCATCTGTAAAATGAAAGCTCTTGTTTGTTTGGGTTTTTCAAAATCACACACTCCCTCTGCAACAATTTCTCTCAAGTGTTAGATTTAGGAAGCATTCCTTGCTGAAACACAAACATGAAGTAATTGGTGCAAATAAAAAAAATGTGAGTAAAATTAAGCCAGGGCAGTCAAAATAGTTGTTTTTATTTTGTATCACGGAAGTTTCTCCTATATCTAACACTGCACAAGGTATCTTGCACAAGAAAAGGTAAGCAGAAGTCCCTTACACTGCCTCGCTTTGCCAGAGAATCACCGTAGTCTGCTGGCAAAGTCCGCTTGCTGGACTTTTTCTGCTCATGTTCAACTGCATCTTCAATTATAGGCTCAAGCCTCATCTGGACAAACACCAAAGATTTGGATCAATTTCTTTTCATTATACAGTGAGGAAAGATCTAAAAGCCTTTAAAAACTTTTGAAATCTTTAGGGAAAATGTATAGAACTCACTGGTGTTTAAATAAAAAGAAAATGCAAAAACCTAGTGAGGCTATGGCCATAAATGCAACAGTCCATAAAAATACAATTCTGAGGTCAGATGTAACAGGTGTAAATAAATCTGAAACCCCGTTTTAGATTTGGCTGCAAAAGTTTTTAGATCTGTATCATGGACTTGCTTTAACATTCAGCACAATCACATAGTGCTCTACCCAAGTGTGTTTTAATAGTGTGCACTACACATCTGAATGAAGTTGACTCTCAAAAGCCAACTACAATTTTTCCTGGACAAGTTTGTCAAATAAAAAGCCAACCTATCCTTGACTCAATATTTTATCCTGAAACTGTCACCCTCCCCTTTTGAGACAATAATTTAGAGACTAGTATTTAAATATATGCTATATATGTTGTATCTACAGAACGGTCCTCTGCAAACAGCTGCAATTCCATCTTGTTACCTCTGTGAGGATTGTGGTGTCATATGAAGGTTGATACTTTTCTTTTTCATGTGCAGTTCGCTTCTCCATCTTTTCTCTGTCCGTTTTCTGTTTCCTGTCTGCTCCTTTTGGCTAAAAATGAATACTCATGTGAACAAGAAGCAAAAAGAAGACAGCTTTATGACTGATTTGTAACCCTACAAGACAACTAATATAAAACACATTTTCTGTCTGAGAGATTTAGTAAAGACCTCTACTTTCAAACGTTACCTTAAAAACTTTGATTTGACAGCTGGCTGAATGCAGATGATCTGTGTATTCTCCATTTTCAGTTTGTTTAAAAGTGTCAACTTGTATCCGAAAAGGAACTCCTTTCTCACCTCCATGTTTACGTGGGGTAAATTCAGTGCTGATGCAATGTACCTGAAAAACAAACTGAAGTTGTATTGCACTTGCTATACGTTTCATGATACCTTTGTCACTCACATTATATACATTTTGCTGCCCATGAATGAATATGCACTCCGAATCCAAGACCATTTCAAATTTGGCCCCCCATATTTCCAGAGTGCTTCAAAATGCCAAGGACAGCTGAGAACACAGACTGCTCACTTGCCTTCTGCCTCACTTTCTTTCTCTCTCTCCCCTTCACCTGTCTCAACCTGCCCAGTGGGAGGTGGTGAGTAGAGCACTGTAGGCTGCTGGAGGATTGCTGGCCCAGACCGACATTTCACTTCAAAGGCTGTTTGTCATTTACTTAAATGTATCTGCTATTTCTGAATTACTTCTGTAGCCACACACATTTGTACCCTCGTTATTTGGAGTACTTCAAAGACCCCTGGAGCACTCCAAAGAGCACATATGTCCAGGGCCTCTGATAGGCTGAGCACCAAATTATAGCCTATCCAGGAAGCAGAATCCAAGACAGGGCTCCCCTCCACACCAGGCAAACACCTGGCCTTTGCTATCCTCACAAACTTGGAAGTCACCAAATCAGGGTATGCTTAGACCTCTGACTTTAAGGGAAGATGGACATACTAAAGGTACCACCTTTAATTGAAGTATCTTTCAAAAATGAATGAATCATCCTGGATCCCCACTAACCTAGGATTTTTAATTAAATTCAAGTTCTCATATTGGATCTTACAGTAAGTGTAGGGCTGTATTAATTTTAGGGAAAAATTCAAAACTTACCAAACAACAATAGTGCCCAGTTACACAACATAGTTAAGAATAACAGGACAAAACACTGTATCAAAACCTCTAATTGGGGTGATTTAAGGCAGGGATTTTCACAGCAGGCTAAGGGAATTAGGTGTACCAGTTTCACTGAAAGGTCAGTGGTCTTGTAGCTCAATTCCCATCTAAAAGCACTGGGTTTATAAAACATATGAAAATCCTAGCAGCAAGAAAGCCAACGAAAAATAAAGCATAAGTCCAGACCAGCGACAATGCTGTAAGCCCTTAAACAAAGAATGTTATGAATACCACCTCTGTGGTCTTTGAACTTTAGTACAATTACACCAAAACTTAAGTGACCACCAGCTACATTTTTTCTCTTTTAATCACTAGATTCATCAAGGTAAGAAACGTAACTTAAAAACAAAAAACCCCAAGAAAACAAACAAAAAAGGATGTTTATCTCATACTCTTTAGCCTCTTGGAGGCAAAGCCTGAAATGGTTGATGTAAGAATAGTGTAATTTCTGACGGTAGAACAATCGTCATGGAACAATAGCATTGGCTTAACACGTAGTGAAACATCCAGGCTATCTGAGCTACTAGGCTAAGAAACTTTGCCATCTCCCACTTTCTATTCTCTTTCCATGCTAATTCTGTATTTCAGATGGAGACCTAAAAGCAATACAGGTGATCCCTAACTGAATACATGGTCATGAAGAGAGATCTGGGTTTTCCATCTGCTGTGGAAAAACACATATTTTCTTCTTTAAAGGAGAAAAATATGGGAAACTGGGTTTCTGCTTGCAGGCTGACAGAGTTCCAGCCCACAAAGGGCTGCTTGGGGCTAAGGGGAGCAGGGGGCACCACGTGAATGTGCACATGCACACATGCACGTGATGGCCAGGCAGTGCGATGGAAAGCAGCTCCCTCCAGGTAAGTCTATGGGGGCAGGGAATGCAGGGGGCACAGATGACAAGTGAGGAGATGGGGAGGCACAGGGAATGGGACAGAAGGGTGGGGGAGGCACATACGCCCACCAAAGATTTCTGCACCCAAAGCAGGGTGTGGGGCTGCAGCTAGACCAGACCAGTCCCAGGCAGGAGCTGCCTCTGCGGCCCAGCAGGTGGGACCCAGAGCGGGAGGGAGTGCTGCACTGCCATGGCCACCAAGGTGAGACACCCCCTGGAGCAGAGGGTGACAACCCCATGCTGCTGCTGCACCTCACCTTGGCGGCCATGGAGGTACGGTGCTTCTTCCTGTGCTGGGTCTTGCCCACTGGCATGCAGAGGCAGCTCCTGCCCAGAGCTGGTCTGGCCAGGCTG